TGAGAGTCTGACCAGGGGCTGATCCTGGAGGAGGAGCTCTGACAAGAGATCCTGGGCCCAATAACCAAGACAGAGGAATGGGAACCCAGTGTGTCAGAAAATCAGATTAAAAGATGATGCTGACCTGGAGGTAACTGATTTAGAGAGACCCTGCAGGAGAAGATGAGTGTGGGGCTGTGAAGGGCTAAGAACTATGGTCCCAAGGTCAACATCAGAGGAGATATTCTGGATGATGGTAGAAGAAGGGACTGATTTAAATGTGGGAGATGCTGTTCAAGAGCAGAAATAGTCAAGAAGATGGGCAGTCATATAGGGAGGGAAGAGAGGAAGTGGTAAGATGTGCAAGAGGGGATGTGAGTATTTTGAGAGACAAAAGGAGGGAAAATGAAAGATAAGAGAAAGGGTTAAAGGACATAATAACAACAACCATATTACTAAGAGCTCACTTATAGACCATTTACTCTGGCAGTTGTGGGCTTAGTGCTCACAGCTGCCCTTGGAGAGAATTATCAACCTCTGTTCATTTGTAGAAAAGGAGACTGAAATCTCAGAGGCCCTGTAGTGGGCCTGGGGTCAAAGAAGTAAGATGAACCCAGGCTTTCTGAACCAGAACTTGTGTGCTTAACCCTATAACACATCGAGATAACCTCATGAAAAAGACAGAATTATGAGTCAAAAGAAGGGTAACGTGCAGAGAGAAAGATACAGAAAGAAGAATATCAGGAGCTAGAGAAAACATAGGAGAAGTAGACATTGAATCTCATAAAAAGGCCAACAAGACAGAGAAACAGACATGTATATGGAGGGTGTGGTGTGAAGGAGGCTTGGATAAGGAGACATGACTTTGTAGGAAGTCAGATAAGTCTACCAATCAGGAGTATACCTGGCAACAGAAACAGATTCTGTATGGCCGTGGGTGACAAGCAAAGCCATTGCTGGTTACTAAGAGGCTTGTGGATTATCTCAGTGAGATGGCCTGGCTAAGGACAGAGGGCAGCTGATGGCAAGAGTTGGATGGGATCCTCCAGGTCCAGATGGGCTCTGTATTGATACCTGGGGGAAGGGATCTTGAACTCCAACTTTATAAAGACTAAATTGGATTAGGGGAGAATGGCATAGCCCATATTTTAATTAATAAAATAAACTTTTCATTTCTTCCCCCAGGAACTGGTGGTAGTTCATATCCAAGACTGATGTGGTTAGGCCCAGATGCCTGGAATTACAATGGTCTGTTCCTGTTGACTGTTCTGTGACACTTTGTTGTTCTTGTCTCATCTGGCAGGTGCTACGGTGCGGGAGGGGAGAGCAAGGGGGATGCTTCTTTTTAGTACTAATTGCCCAGAATAGTCAGTCTTTGCATTGGCAATTTCTCCAAAGATTTAGATAACAGAGTTTTCATTTTTTTCTGGTTGCCTGGGGCGGGGGGGGGGGGGG